AACTCAAGCAGAGTCAGACTAGCAAGTAATCAGAAGAGACCTTTAGGGAAAACACAAGCAATGGAAGGAGTGGTGGTGTGATTTATTTGCTAGTTGAATCAGACCTGAACCAGTGCTGTAGGAAAAAACCAAGAAAGCACCATCTCACTAACAGCATATCTAGACCTACATTCTTAATAAGATTAATCTCAACATTATGATTATCTGTGATCACAAAAGAACATGTTTCACTATCTACAAGTAGGAATGTCATCCTGAACATCCTGGCCAAATTCCAACTTTGTAATTACTACCTATTGAATGAATACTATGATTAACTTGGGTAATTACTATACACCAAACTCCTACTCGAGCATATACTTAAAATAAACACTCATTGCACAGCCGTGGGTAGCTTTATGAGACTAAACTAGAGAGGAAGGCTTCTACACAAAGAGAAAAACTGAGTAATAGTTGGATAAAATACATGAAAGGTTCAGCGGCAATAGAGCATAATATCTTCATTAAAGTTCAGAATTGTGTTGTTCATCCTTTTTTTGTGGGAATGGTGGGTGTGTGTCCCAAATCAACTGACACAAGGGTAGATCTTATTACCATTAATCAGAGGGGCTCACTCTGCCAGTAATTACCATCATGATATTATGCTCAGCTAAGAAATGCCTTCAGAATCTAAATTGTTCATTCACTCATTTAACAGAAAATTTACACAGTATTCACTATGTCTCAGGCACTGTTCTAAGCACAAGGGATACAGTGGTGAACAAGACAGACAAGGTTCCTGCCCTTAAGGAGCTTATATTATAATAGAGAAACAGACAGACAGTAAACCAATAAATCAGTAAGTAATAGGAAAGATACAGAAAGAATGATGGTACACAGTAAGTTCAAGGAGGTATTTGATGTATAGGATGGCCAAGTAAGATTCTTCTAAGAGGGTGTCATTTAAGCTGAAACCTTAAATGGGTAACAGGAAGCCAATCCTGAGAAGCCGGGAGAAGTGCATTCAAAGAGGAAATGGTGTGCACAGAGGCCTTCAAGTGGGAAAGGCTTGGTGCATTCAATGAACCAAGAGCCCAGTGTGGCTAGTAAATAAGAGGTTGGAGCAATGGACAAGGGCTTGACTAAAAAGGGCCTATTGGCCTAGTTAAGGCATTTGGATTTTGTTGGGAAGGTAAGAATACGAATTTAAAGATAAGTACCTCACCATCCTGGGAAGATTATAATATGCATCTTCCCACAACCCCACTGAGAATCATGTTCTAGATCTTTGCTACCCAAACTGTGGTTCAAGGACCAGAAGCATCAATTTTGGCATCAAGTGGAAGCTTTTTAGAAATTTAGAATATCGGTCTCCATCTTAGTCCTTCTGAATGGGAATTTGCATGTTAACTGGCGATTAGGATACACATTATAGGTTAAGAAGCCTCAGTTAAAGTGCTGCTCTGAAAAGTTATTATCTACAACTGATTATCAAATATGTATTATCAAATAATACCAAACCATGGGCTCCAATGCAAATGACCAGAGGTTGGCTTAACAGTAAATTAAAAGAAAAAAAATTTACTACATTGTCCCACAGAGAATGCAAATTCTGGATATTTCCAATGTCTTAACAGAAAGGTGTTAAATATGATCACAGATCTAAATATATGACAGCAGAAAAGAATTAAGAAAGATCATAAAAGATGCTGCCACTTACACCTATTTGACTTAGTTCCTTTAAAGATGTTCTCTAATGTACAGACATTTTCATGACAGCAGAGTAAACTTCATTTTCCAAGTAGAAAAGCTGACAGCTGAAAAGCTGTCTCTTGTCAATTCCTGTCTATTAACTGAGTAAAGCCCATCTCAAAAATATAACTCTCACGACTGAGTACACCTCATTCTTGTTACTTAGTCTTCTCATGCCTTATATTCTCCACTATCTTTTAATTTCCTTGTTCTAATTTTCCTTATTTTATCCCAACTTCTTAATTTTGAAAAATTCCTCATCTATAGAGAAGTTGCAAGAATAGTTCACTCTTTACCAAGATCCGGTGTTAACATTTTGCCACTTATCTCTTTTTTTCTCTCTACACGCACTCACACACTTAATTTTTCTCAACCATTTGAAAGCAAGAAGCAGACATTTTTGATCAAGGATCCAATCACAGATCACATATTACATTTTGTTTCCATGTCTCTTTAGCCTTCTCTAGTCTAGAGAAGACTGTCCCACCCTACTCCTGACCCCGCCTGTCTTCTGGTTGTCATGACACTGACATTTTAGAAGAGTTCACAACAGTTGTTCTAGAGAATGTTCTATAATATGGATTTGTCTGTTTCCTCAAGATGAGGTCTAGGTTAAACACTTTGGTGAGAAACATTTTTGGTTAAACATTTTGGCGAGAATACCACAAACTGATGTTTTCTTTAAATGGTCCTCATAATTCCTGCATCTACATTTTACATTCCCACGTAAATTTAAATAAGCTCCTTGAAATATGGGGCCTTGCTTTTTATTTCTTTGGTATTTCCCTGAAGAATGTAGCACAATTTGTGTATATATTACATACTCAATAAATAAATGAAAACTTGAAAGCAGAGTTGAGAACTGTTTCTAAGGATGGCAGAACATACGTGGCTATTACAGATTTCATAGTTTTATACCAGACTAAAAATATTTGTGCTTTGCCTCTAAAATTTTTAAGAGAAATAATTAAGCATGTAAACAGTTTAGCACAGTGCCTAGTACAGTGTGTACAAAATACATCTAGGAAACAGCTGGGGCTAAAGGCAGATATTCAGCAGACTGGACTGCTGAGGTTGGTAGGTGACAGAATAAAGAGTTTGGGACCTATTATATCCCAAGATATTTTTATGAGTTAACAGAGCTTTAAATGGAATGTTGGGACAACAGCAGATTTAACAAAAATCTCATCTTTTAAGTCTCACTTGAGTCAGATATTGACTACAAACTATTTCTCAGAGAAGAAAGAAAAGCAAAATAGGTCATTTAATTCCTACTTTAATAAAACAGTTGAGAACAGTACACAAGAACAAAAATATGGTATTAAAATCAAAGTATGTTATACAAGATGGAGTTCAGGGAATATTTAAAAAATTATTTTCAAGGCATCCAATATAATTTAAAAGTTTACATTTAGATGAAATTTATTAGAGTGAAAGTGAAATAAAAATGCTATCTGTCATGCCAAGAAAGGGAAGCAGTAACTATGCCTTGTTTGAAGAACTGCTTCCATATAGAACAAGAGACCAATAAACAATTGAAATATGGTATATTAGAGAACATTTGGCATCTAAGCCATTTCTAATTAAGACCAAGTTTTGCACTACCAGTTGACATTTTGAAGTATGTCAGCTAATGATTAAGACTATTCCTCTACTCTCCTCCACACAAACATGTTTTAAGCGTTGTTCGTTATGTAATCCAATTGCTTTTAAGATAGCATTTATGCTTTTCTTCTGCTGGTTTTTTTTCCCCTATATATAACTAACAAGCTAGTGAAAGGAAAACAGAATCTTTATCTCATCCAAATGCAACTGGGAAAATGTACCACCACAGGATGCCTATATATGTCATATGTGGTGAGCTTCTGTAGATTTATATGTCATGAAAAAAATGGTCAATGTCATTGTCAGACATCTTGTAGCTGCCAGACAATTTTGTAATGCTGGACACAAAACGACTCTAAAAACTGAATAGGTAAGCTAACTTTATTTTTCTAAAAAATACTACTAAAGAAACCTAAAATTATTATATGAACATTAAGAAATGTTCCTTTTAAATCAAGATATATTCTGAAAAGCAATCATGCAAACAGATTTAAAATCTACTACACACTGTATAAAAACTGATTATTTAAGATACTTGCCCTTGAGATACACAATATTATATAATGAACAGTTTTATGACCCACTTAGCTAAATAAGCTCATGTTTCTTCTCATTTATAGAAGAGTTATTTGGTTTGGCTGATGGATGTAGATTTTTGGTTCTGTGAAAAAGAGTAATTGGGGATACTGCAGACAGCCAAGAATTATATGAGCAGATAATATGCCATATACTATTAGCCTTTACAAACAGCTTTCTAGAAAGAAAGCGAACCTTAACCTTGGGTATTAATGTTATTCTCTTGCTTCAGTGTAAGGATTATAGGTATGCTCAAGAGTCCGATAACAGTCAATTCTGTAACAATAAAACAACTTCAGCTGCTTTCAAACAGACAAATACATTCTAACTCTGACTATCACAACTACCTTTCTAATAAGGCTACCCCAATATGGTATTTGATCCTAGATTGTATTTTCAAATATTATCTTTTCTTCTCATGGGGCCCAATTTCCATTGCCTTCAATATTTGTAAGGAACTTTATTTATTTACAATCATACGCAGAACTCCAGTGTGGAGAAAATGCTAAAGAGATGAGTAAATTTCATTTCATGAGATAACTTCCTCCACTTTTCTTAAAACCATTTCATAAAATTCTCTCTCCATCTGTTTATCTAAAGTTTCTTGACAACTTAAAAGGCAAGATTATGTTAAAAATATAAGCCAAAACCTCTTTTCCCCAGGAGTTTATAGCTAATATTTATATTACTAGTAAAGATAAGATGAAATTCAGGATGTTAGTCACAAAATTGAGTCATACAGAACACAGGTATTCATCAAATAAAGATTTCTCTATCATAAGTTGAGACATTATAGTGATTTTTATTGCAGGGTATCTTGCTAAAAATATTTCATATTTTCTCTTCAAAAATTCAAGCTATTCATTTATTTCACAAATACTGGAATACATACTTTATGCAACAAAATGTACCAAATATTGTAAAGAACGTAAAATTACAGAAAAGTTTGGTTGATCCCTTCCCCCAAGAGACTTATAATTCATTGGAATCAGCACAGATATCCCTTAAAATGCTTTGTTCCCTTGAGATACAAAATTTGAGTGAGGAAGTGTCAGAAAACATTTATGTATTCCCTAAGTAGTGTTTACCTGGTCTTGCAGTGACATCACTGGATTATTTTTGGTAGTGTTGATGTGAAGAACGTGGTATTTATTCTTTGCACACAGGTCATAGGCAATATTGGTAAAAGAGGTGCTTGCAGTTTTGGGGACTCTGTTGTAAATGATCACCATGTCCTCCTCCTCATCTAAAACCGCATCTTGCCGAGGGCCATCCATTGTATGTCGCTGCTCAATTTCTCGGACTTCATGTCTTGCAATAGCCCTTTCTGCAAAGAAAAACAGATATGAACTCAGGTTCTGTTTTTTTCGGTGAGAGAGAGCGGCCATGAGCTAACACCTGTTGCCAATCTTCCTCTTTTTGCTGAGGAAGATTGGCCCTGAGCTAACATCTGTGCGAATTTTCCTCTATTTTATATACGGCACGCCGCCACAGCATGGCTCAATAAGCGGTGCATAGGTCCATGCCCAGGATCCGAAACTGCGAACCCCGGGCCACCAAAGCAGAGTGCACGGACTTAACCACTACGCTACCAGGCCGGCCCCAGAACTCAGTTTTTAAAGACACTATAAGGAAGTTATAAAACACTGAAAATAATTTTCCGTTCTTGGAACATAACGTTCCTATTCAAGAACTGGGTAAGAGCAGCTGAAGAAATGTTTTGAGGACTAAAACTTCAGATTCACCTTTGAAGAGTAATACTTATGCACACAAAGAATAAACAGAGTCATCAAGTTTAAAATACCACAGACCAGAGAGTTCTTCAGTGTAGTTCAAAAGTCACTTTACATTCTAATAAAACTTCTACGGCCAGAATTAATTCTCAAACACACAAAGACAGATTGCATGGAATACTAAATTTCACAGCAAAAAATGCATGTAGAAAATAAATCACTTATAATTTAAACAGAGATTTTGAAATTTGTTACTCAGGATTTAGTTACACCCTGGTTTATCAAAATGTAGCAGGGCAGTGATGATGCTTGTGTGATTTTAAGTAACAAGGGTAAAAACAACACCATAACAAATCCTTTTTCTTTTTGCTGTTGCATTACAGATAAGTCCTGGCTATGTTGATTCCTTAAATTCCATGGTTCCTCTAATTCAAATCACTGTCTACCATGCAGCTTGAAAAGCAGTTACATTTTGCTTTCTACTACTCTCTATTTAATATAAACTTCAAGTATTTTTTAGAATAAGGAAGGAAGAAAAGGGGAAGGAAGAAATGAGGGCAATAAAAAATCTCTAACAAGACTGTAAATTACTTTGCACAGAAGCAGCTGCTCACACATAGCATGCATCCTCCGACCGACCACCAGATCTGTCTGCAAGCTATCTCACCTGCCTTGAACACTCTTCCATTCTCCCTCTATCTTAACCCTGCCTGGTGAACTCCTCAACCTTCACATTGAATTTAATCATCACTTGCAAGGGAACCATTAACAGATCTCTAACTAGGTCAAGTCACACACACACACAACATATGTATACATACCTAATACTACACTTCTGGTACTTATCATAATTGCAATTTTATATCACATGTGTTATTATTAGTATCTGCCTACCATAATGCTGACGATTTAGTAAAGAGACAAGAAAAAGCAATGTGGTATAATTACAATAATAAGTTCAGGCTTCAAATATTGTCAGACCATGCATCTTAATTTTTGGTTCAGAAGATATGATCACCATGTTACAGAGAGTACACTCTGAGCTGAGGATTCACATTCAGAAGACTTGAATTAAAAGTGCCAGGCCTGCTGCTTATTAGCAGTCAGCTTTCCAAAACAGGAGGAGAAGCACGTATATGCTGTATGTATATGCATATGTATGCACCCTTTTTTTCCTTGGACGAGTTGGTTGGGAATGCGGGGAGAAAGAGATGAGCTCAATGTTGAACAAGTTGTTAGATTGCCTGGGTCATCCAGGAGATGTTATGTAGATAATTGGGCACATAGGTTGAGAGTTAAGAATAAAGGTTCAAGTAGAAGAAAGACCTCTGAGAAAACCATGGGAATGGATGAAACTGCCTAGATAATCTAGAATACGTAGCATGGGAGGAGATTCTAGGGCAGAATCTTAGGAAATACCAACATTTAAGGGGCAGGTGAAAAAGACAATCCACAGAAAGAGGCTAAGAATAAATGGTTAGAAAGAAAAAGGAACCAGGATAGACTTTTAAGAAGCACATACCACATGTTAGAAAGCATATCTCTCATTTTCCAAATGAGCCTATAAATCAAGGTAACATATGATGCTATAAGCATCTACATAGGATTCGGAAGTTGTTCCGGATTAAATTCAATAAGTATTATTGAAAGCCTGTGCACATTATTATATTCAATAATTAAAGGAATCTTATCTTCCAAACAACTTCAAATTGTCATCATAGTCCAAAACTATTACAGTATTGTTATGTCCACATATCCTCCTTTTTCTACTAAGAGAAATAAAACAGTGCTGTTGTCAGTCAAGTGCTGACAGAAGTGCGAGGTTTCCTCTAGCAGCCCAGATATGCATGAAATTGCCTTTAAAAGATTCACCTACAATCAAAAATGCTGAATTTACTTTCACTAGTTTTTCTAAAATTGAATATTTGGCAAAGAAGCAGATTTTATGTGTTATTTCATAAATAGGTATCCATTTTAACTATAGAAAACATAATGATTAAAGAAAAACTGCAATATTAATAGTTTTTATAATTACTCCATCTATTTATAAAATTTTACATGCCTAATAATTGCCTTGAAAATTAGCTAATAAATTAATTAAAAATATTTTTAAAAAGTTATTATTTAGTCTGGGGATTTTTTTATTTTTTAAGGTGCTAAAACTCTAGCTGGACTATGAAACTAAAATGTTTTAAAAATTAATCATTGTTCTTGGTTCATTATGCATATTAAATTATATGAACTGTATATTTCCCACAATTTTAAAAAATTTCTTAGATTATGAAAAGGTACAAATACGGCAGTCACTACTTTTCTCATTCAAATAATATATTTATATGCATTTCTTATTTTTCAAGTGTTTTTACTTTGCTTAAATGAACAGGATAATTATTAACATGATGTTATCCCTAAAACTACATAAAAGATAATGACAGTATAAAGAATTTTTATTAGCACTATCTCTTTAGAAAATCAAATCTCACTTAGTTGAACAGTAACAGTAACTACTGTTGATGGTAAATGACTATCTCTTTTCTCCTGTGACAATACTTAAAACCAGTAAGAGTGTTTGCAATATGGCCATATTCTTTACTTACTAAGTAGTCGATATTTCCAATTCTTTTTTTATCCAAGATGCTCTGCATCTAGTTAGTACAGCTTCTTCTGAGACTCTCTTAAGTCAACGGGGAAGGTTTATTAGTTACAGCACATTTGTAGTGCACTTAGAGAACGTAGGCAGTATATTTAAAATACTTAAGATGCATTTTGAAGTAATGTTTTTTCATGTTTGAGTAATCATTACAGAGAATCTGCTATGCAAGCTATTTCAGAACCACCACAAAATGTATAGCCTGCAAATAGCATGTGGTGCTATCTGAGAGTCATGAAATTACAGGCAGGTCAGGCACCACTAGCATTAATGTGCCCAACGCTGAAAATCGACATAGAACTCTATGGCAATTCTAGTTCTTTGGCTCCTGTTGAACGTGGCACATATCTCAATTCAATGAACCTTTCCACATGGCAGATTATCAACAAACTCAAGTCTGTTAAAAGACCATTCATAATACCAATAATTACCTATTTTTGTATTGACAGGGCATTAAAGGCCTCATTTATTAAAAGAATATAATGATAAAGCTAACAAAACACCAACCTAAATTCTACACAGCATTAAGTCACAAAGATGTGAATATCAGACCAAAGAAAAACTAGAAAACTGAAGAAAAGATTTTTTTTTAAATCACAACATTATCTCTTAATGACTAATTTTTTTAACATTAAGATTGCTGTTTTGGGGAACACCATTTCTCTTTGAACATTAATTAATATGTTTGTTCACTGTATTAAATAACTTAGAGAAGTAAGTTATGTGTTCTGTACAAATTAAAGGACTCATGAATATAAGCCCCTCCTCCTGCCAAAGCTCAATTTTGCAATGGTCTCAGCAGAAAATAAATTGTTCACAAATGCTCAAAATGTGTAGTATTTCTGTATTGTGGATAACAGTTTAGCACTAAAGGGATAAAAGAAACAGCAAAAGGAAAGAGCAATAAATTGCCTTGCCTTCAAATACTGAAACTTCTGCGTGTTCAAGTAAAAATATACCTATAGCTAGATAACAGGTAAATAATATATAAAAGGCAAAGAACATTACGGAAAAAATGACCAAATTTTTAATATCTATTATCAAAGAAAGAAAACATAGAAATTGTTAATAACAATATTAAGACTTCAGTAGATAATAAGCTAAGGTGGTTTATAAGACATTTAAGCTATATATGCATAATAGAGTAGAGCAAAAATATGCATTAGTGGCTTATAATGATTTCTTGGGTCACGGACTTCTTTGAGAATATAATGACAACTATGGACCCTCCCTCCAGAAAGGTTGACTTGTGCATTTCAAGGCTTCCACTTAGAGCCCACCCATGGGTAGGGGGGTCCATGACCCCAGATTAATTACTCCTAAAAAAAATGGCTCCTATCAGCAAGGCCTGAGAGTAAACTGCCTAAAGGCATTAGTACATGTATAGAAAAAAGAGGTTACTCACAAGTAAGGATTGTAGGCAAAGAGAAATCACAGAAGAAACTGGCAGCATCTATCTGAGAAATGTCTATGGGTGAGGATGCCGTGGCACAAAACTTGACCTGTCAGAACTCCCTGGCAAGTATGTCTATTGTAGAGCTAGATATGCTGGCCTCTAAGAGCTTGTGCTATCAGATACCTGAATTAAAGTGGATCCTTAGCATTTTCTAGGCTAAATCCTGAACTGTGTGAATCCCCAAATACTGTTCTGAAGAATAACTTATTCCCCATAAAATATGTACACAATGAGAAGTAGAAAGCAACAAAGTTGCACCAAAAGAAAGCTATGAGGCTATTTACCTGATTCTTTCTTTAGCACCATTTACTGTGAATGTACTGTCCAGCCAAACACTATCTGATCCTCATGGAAGTAGTATTTTGTAATCATTATGAATTAAATAAATTGATTGTCTGATTGCATGCATCATTTTCTTATGAATGTTTTTAGCCTGAATCAGTCTCCTTGAACTCAATCACCACAGGGACTGACAAAATAAATTTCTA